ACTAATGACGGAGGAATCTCTTGTTTTTGGTGGTTTTGATGGTTGAGCTGGTTGCAGTAGCTGCACTGGTTGTGCCATCTCAACTGGTGGTTCATTTCCTTGACCTTGCAATTGGTGTGCAAGTAAAGCAATAGTATCAATCACCTTTGAAGTGTTGACGTCATTTTCCATAGAAAGCTCCTTACGGACATCTAAAAAAATCCGTATTAGACGGATAATGAAAAAGGGAAAAAAGGAACCAATCTAGCATTCCCTCAAGTTATTTTTGCATATTAATGAATCAATAAGCAGTAGTAACTTATAGATAATATTTAACGGAAATCACAGTAATATAATGAAAGAACTACCTCCAGATTTCCGAATATTGTCAATGATATCTTTCCTGGAGGCCCCTAGCTCTGGAGCAGGGCTGTTGCTGCATGATTTTCCACCTTCAGGTTCTGATATGAAAAAACTGTCCCTGAAAACAAAGAAAGTATATTTAAAAGGACTCAACAATTACAGCAAAAATTTCATCGTTTTTTTTCCATCCAATATATTACGATAAAAAAACTCAAAGTTGAAAATCCAGGAAAAGAAATCTCGAAATTGCTTATTCAACTCTACCCAAATCAATTACTTGATCGCTTAAGGAACTTTTACAGCTAAAAAAGAAAAAACCTTACTAAATTCTTGGATACATGTTTACCTAGACATTCGAGTTTTGAATTAATTTGAATCACGATAGTCAAACTTCATTAAATAGTTAAACCTGACATCATATATTTATTTAAATACTCAAGTGTTTTAGAATTTGAGAAAAACTTGAATGCTTTAATGGCATTGGTGCTTTAAATTCCTTGGACACTTCGGTTGATGGACTTATCATCTTATCATTTTTAATCATCTTTTTTCTTGCAAAGATAATACCATTTTGAAAAAATTACCGAATGCCCGCGTCAACAAAAAACAATGTTATCCAAAATAAATTTAAACTATTAGTTCAAATATCATAAAAACACTAAATTAAACGGTTAAAAAGGAATGTCATGATAAATTTTTTCCTAAAAAATATTTAAAAAGTGACTGCTTTTTTGGATCCCTTTAAAAATTTGAAATTTTTAAACATTTGCCCATAGCACATATTCTCTGCCACAGTGGTATGCAGTGGTATGGCAAACATACCGAGCAAACTCCTCTTCCATGACGCCATCCAGAAATTTCATTGCATCAAAATATCGTCGATATTTACAATTTCGTGTTGTCCTTGCACCAGGATTCTGCTTTTGTTGTCGTTTCTCATTGGCATATGATCGCCGCAACTGAAGCCATATTTTTCGGCATGTTTCTTCTACAACAAATGCAAGATTATACAATAAATGAGAAAAAACTTCGCAGATCAAGAGGAAAGGCAAACAAATGATGTGACGTTAGTGCTTCATCTGAACATTATGCATGACCATAATGAGGGAAAAGAGAAAATTTGGTGTTATGGGATGGGCGCCAATTAAAGAATATATTGGAAAGAGAAAAATACGGACAGCATATTACTACTAGAATTTACTAAGAACCCAAACCATTTCAACTATCATTAAAATTTAATACCATCAACTTGTTTTAAATCATTCGACATCTCTGAGGCAATGCTCTCCCAGGCTTGCTTCTTTTTGTTCGTTCGCGTATGGTATTCTTCAAAGCTACCATCCCACAGTATCTCATTACGTCGAACTAAATCTATGAAATATTCCATTTCAGGACCTGAAATATTAATTATTCTGAGTTTAAACTGGGAAATTAGGATTCAAAATTACGGTTAATGCTGAACAAAACAGAAAAATCACATTACTATCAGATTCTCATGTCAAAAAGGAATGATTATAATATTGATAAAATACATCTTTAACAAGAAAACCAGAACCTTTAAAAACAAGCACATGTCGCAAATTAGTTGACTTGGTGGATGTTGAAATCTTTTCACCGAAATCTGTTAAAATTGTCCCATCCTAAAAAAAAAATGAATATTCTTCTGAAGTGTTGCAGCCGACTTTTACACCACTTATTAAAATATGTTTCATTTAATTATATTATGAAATGTATCAGCAATTTTTAATTTATTCAAGTAATAATACAACGATATTTATTATCGGAATGAAGCTACACCTGTCTCCGCCTATCTAACTGATAACTTTCCCAAAGTGCACGAGCTTACAGTATACCTCCGATAATCAAATGACTATGGTTTCATAAAAACTGTTTACATTTCCTAAAGCATTTGTCCAATATACCAAACGAAACAAATACGCAAATTATGTAAATAAATACACAGATACAATGATATAATCCATGCCTCGCAATTCACTGTTACAGAATGACTTGTAGATGGTTCCATAGCAAGAAGCACGCCATTAGAACAAACTTCGGATAAATCTTCGTTGCCATCTTCAACTTTAATTTTACAACCTGAAAAAGTGCAACCAATCATAACCGATCCAAGTTAGTAATATATACATAATTTTCTCATAATTTACAAATTATAAACTAACGTTTAAGCTGCTCATCACAATTAATTTGTCCGGCTACTTCATCAATCGCTCGCTTCAAAGTTAATCTCCTTTCTGTTTTCGATCTTTCTTCCATTTCCTCCTGCTTGATCTCTCTAGATCCTACGATGCAGGCACCATTGATGTCGCTCATCATTCTTTTCTTAAAATTATACTGGATATCGAAAATACCACGAAATTTGGTAATAATTAAAATAAGAAATTGCTCTCGCAACGTCGGATAATAATCTCAGTAACAATTGGCAAAAATTAACAACAGCCATAATAACTTCCCAGTTTTTAGTGAAGCTCCACATGAAGTTTAACATAATCTAGTATCAGCTCTCAGGAAGAGATTAACAAGTATACCGATTAGTTTCAAAGTATCTGGCGATCATTCTTACAATACCCATAAACTTCGATACAAATATCTTGCTTGTATTTTCAACATTATCTTAACATCTGTTATTCCTAAACTTGTTTAAATTTCACAATAAATTTCAAAAATTTTCAAATTGAAATAGAAATAACCAAGAGAACTAATTTCAAAATCAACACTAAATTAACGACATATGAACGGAGCTACTTGTCGACGGCCATTTCTACTCATTAACTGCAAGGCAAGTAAACAACATCAAATGATGATTTTGATCAGGAAGCATACACAACAAACAAATGCCTAGCAATCAATAAGGTAGGGTGGAGTTGAATGATATGTAGGAGAGTTCGAAACATACTCATCCAGCATTATTACATTTACCATACTCTTTCACTATCCCTCATCTCTCTCTACCATCACTATTTCTTCTCTCTTTAACTACGATCAACATCTCATACATACTTTATTGCTCGACAAATAAGAGAATTACTACTAACTGGTTGTTAGTTGGTTTAGTTGCTCACCCAAATTATATGCATTTGCTTTTGCTTCTTGCTCACTAAACTACAGAGTGCATCATTTAATACTATCCATATAAACATCCTCTTCATCTCTCACCTACGACGACTACCTCATCGTAATTGTCTACTTAATAGAAGAATGTTGCCGTTGCTAGCCAAACATCACAATCAACCATCACCACCATCCACCACTAATATCAACACCAACATCACACCACACCACTACCGACTACAATCACCATCATTTAACGATCACCATTTGTTGACATTTCATCTAATAACGTTCATTCTCCGAACAAACAGAAAAAATCGATCGCATTTCAAAATTTGAAAGAAAGTAATAATTCATATCCCCTCAACTAAAATTCATCTTTCCATTTAATTTTCCATAAACTTCTGTTGACATGCTATATAATGAGACTTTTTCCTTACTGTATAAAGTGCTTCGTATCCACTACGAATTAAGAGGGTAGAAATGAACTTGCCATAATCTTCCCAATCTGTTGTATAGGACATCCCTAATTGATCTAGCAAAAGTGTATCATTCACAAGGACGGTAATTGCTTCGGATTCTTGTTTTTTATAAGCAAAGAAAACTTCACCAATGAACGATTGTTTTTCAGAATATCATATAATTTAAAAAGCATTACCTGAAAGCAAGTCATCCAAAGTAAATTTTAATCAATGTGATGTATCAATAAACTTTCTTCTTCCTATTGTTAACAGTAAAAAAAACCATCATAATCAAGGGTGGAAGTCAAATAATCTCACTTTATACAAAATTCTCACAGATTCATATTCGAACTTCGAGAATAGATGAAAGTTAGAGATAACACATGATCATACATTTGCAAGGAAAGTATAAGTATTCATTGTCATATTGCAATAATGATTGTTTCAGCTCTTCCTGACATTATGCACAGAAAATAAGTAAAATAAGTAAAAATAACAAATAGATGTTTGTAAGAAAAAAAACAACTGTTCAAGTGCATATAAAACAAAAGATTATTTCTGATCATCAAAAATCTAAACACGATATGGAGCTGGAATTGTAGAGGTATCTGGAATCTGTCTTTGAGTCCCCAGGGGTAAACCGGAAACACTTCAGGAAATTTCCTGGAATCCAGAAGCTGTTGTAGATTTATGTTATACTTCAAAAAATTTACTAGAATCATGGCGCAGTTATCAAGATGCCCCAAAATAGCCTAAATATAGAAAACAATCAATCATTGTTGAGCATCACTTCGTAGAAAAAAGGCATTACTGAAGTTGGGTAAGTACAACAGTCAGCATAATCAACAGATTAAAACAAAATTAAAATAATACGCTTAAAAAAAATTTTGTAACAAAAACTAATAGCAATTTACAATTAATAATAATAATAATAATAAAATAATAATAATTATTATTATGGTAATAATAATAATAATAATAATAATAATAATAATAATAATAATAATAATAAATAATAATAATAAATAATAATAATGATGATAATAATAATAATAAACACAAACAATAAAGATAAAGCTACTCATCACATCACAATCTTGCGAGGAAAATAACACGCAATTTATGAAATCAATCATTTTCCATATCAACCTGTGGATTTCTTTCAACATAAAATACTCCCTCACGACGGTACATTTTTAGCCTAGTCATATCTTCTGGCGAAATCATCGAATCCCCGCTGTCGATAAGTTTGCAAATAACATCATATTTACATTGCTTACCCTCGGCATTCCTTTCAGTATTTCGATTTAAGATAGATACCAAGAAGCTGTAAAATAAGTCGTTATAAATGTACCTTCAAAAATTTTCGTCTACAAGTATCTCAAAATCTAAAATATTTCACCAAGTGCAGAACGGAATTTCTACATTAAGTGACACTAACTAGATTTCTAATACTACCATCCTGAGATATTCTGGATATTGCAGACAACCTTAATAACTTTAAGATCCATCATCGTATTACTGATGACATTTTCAATAACAGCAAAATGCTTCAGACATAACTAAGGTAATCTTGTTTATATGAATTATCCTACAATGTCATCAAAATGTTCCGGACACTATGAAGCAAATATCCGACTAATATAGTTAAGCTAAATGGGGTCATCGTGAACTGTCATCAATCAATTTGTAGTGATACTGATTCAAAGTTGATAAAATACAAACCCGGCAGCGGAGCAGAATATGCGAATTGCCCAATTATGATCAAAAAGTGCCAAAAGTAATCGCAGTGATGATATTCGAATATCATTAAATGGTTTACTTAAATAAGATATTACAATTGATGGGAATGTCTCACCAAGCCAATTAAACCATTTCTGCGCGATTACATCTGCATCAGCATCCTGAAAACACAGATATTCGCTTAAAGCATAGAAAATACTTCTTAAACCCAACTTTATGAAATTAGATATTAGCACTTCATCTTCCAATCGTACATTATATTAATAAAATCTAGCCCTAGTATAGGCATAAAAATCGTAGGATAAAGTGCTACTTTTCCAACTTTCCATCCTTTATAAAATATTTACTCTCATCAAAATTAATAACTTCAACCGAAATAGTTTGAGAATCCCTAAGACCGATTTAATTTCTCAACATTGTATATGTCGAAAAATTAAATAATTCTTAGGAATTTTCAAACCATTTCATTAATGACTAACAATATTTTCCACGTCTTGGAAATTTTCAGGAAAAAAGTCATGTAGGTATTGGGTTCAAACAAAAAAAAATTTAACTCCGACCAACATTTTGTGTTATAAATCAAATTGGAGATTAACATCCGGATAAGTGATTACCTCAACCTCATCTTTGACCTCCAACATCATTGACAAAGCATTAATATGTCGTACTCGCAAGTCGATTGGTCCACTTGCAATAGCTACACTAAATGCATTCATTGCTCTCCTCATGTCACACTGTGCTAGAAATAGAATGTATGCCATAAAAAGGATATAAGCTCTATCTTCAAACATCTAACATATTTCAATCAGCATCTCACAATCCAACTCTCTTAGATATGACAAGACTCATCGCTCAATTCCCAAACAGAGGAAAAACAATTCTAAATCCCTAGATTTTTGGGTTCACAATAAAGTAGAAGTCATAAAAATTTACTAGAGTTATTGTGTTGTCTGTCCAGAAATTTCTTAGCACAGTCGGTTGATCCCACAGCACCAAGTGTATCAAAAGCAAGAAGACGTAATGAAGCGTCCAATCGGTCAAAGTGATAAATCAAATCAAATAATGAGTCCAAAAATTTCGGAAATTGCGACAAACACTCCACATTTGCAACAGAAAGATGCCCAAAGAACTTGATAAGAGCTGTAAAAAAGATAATACAGCGAGAATTGGATAGAAAATTGATTAAAATTAAGATAACTTCATATTTCAACTGCCGCTGAATTTATCCTACTCACTTAGTGATTCCCAGCTCAAATTGGAATTTTAGAACCGACAACTCTTAGATGAAATAAAATATAATGTTACTTGTAATGTATATATAAAGAAATGAACATACCAGGATAGAGAAAACCTGCATCTGGCTGCTCCGTGCATTGAATAAACAATCTGTTGAGCTGATCAACAATCCCTGTCGACAACAAATACTTCGCAGTTGATGTTTTCCTGAAGGAAAAAGCCATTTGACAGATTAAAATAAGGAACACTTTGTTGATACATATTGACTTTTTTAATGACCTATACTGAGAGAAATCTGCACATCAACAAACTAAAATGGATGGATGATTTGGTGAGCGAAAAACAGATTATGTTTTGTCGCTAATTCGAACATGTCGTGAGATGCAGAGGACCATTTAAATGAGAATCTAGATAATACGGATGACAGGAAGATAAAGAATCCTTTATCCAAAGCAATAAAGCGGATAAGAGGAAGTGAAATGTACATTTTGTTTTCATACGTAAAAACTAACTGAGAAGCACCATCAGCAAACATTTCCACAGCATTGATCTGGATTAAAATATCAGTAGATTCAAGTTCCTCCGCTAACCGACTGATCAAATCTCCGGTTTTATGCAAATCATCTCCTTTCTTCATCACCAAAGTTGTAACCTATGATGAAATGGGCGTAAGTAGAATTACAACCTTGAAAATTTGAAAACAAAAACTTCAAAATTTTAATATGCTTTCATAAGTCAATGCTAAAAATAATATCTTGTTCTGTATTTAGTTTCTCAACATTCATTGCTTTTTGTGATATGAAATAACGGAACAAAACTAAATATCGAAAACGATGGAGCTGCTTCGTTATTGCCATAAAAATAATTAAGCTCATTCACAATATGATTAAAGCAGCATACATTCTATGTTGTTAACGAAATCCACTTGATTTGTCACAGTTCAACAGAAGTCTTTTTTTTTACAACGCTGCAAAAAAATGAACCTGATGTATTCGAAATCGAATTTCAGCGCGATTTGAATTCAGTTGATTCAATAGCTCATCTTGTACCAATTTCAGTGATGCGAAGCGTGTCAACAGCTAGAAAATATCGCATAAAAAGTTTATAAAGGGACTGCCAATATATTAGATTAAATTGATTAACATCGTGAACCTCATAATTAAGTCCCGCGTACAGCTGTCCCCAGAGTTATGCAACTATAATTCTGGTAAAGTTTTAGAACGGCTTTAGCTGATTTGAAAATCGAATTCTGATATTACTGAACTGTCTAGTACAACGTCGTTTAGAATGCCCTATCATAAGCAAAACTGTGTTTGGGATAAACGAATTAACAGGCGCATTAATACCAACGTACCAAGACCACAAACATATGTTGAGTAGCCATAAAATTTGAAACGGGCCTAGATACCACCAAACTATATTGTTTCCCGCTTGTAATGTCTGACTTGTATAAGCTATGCGGTAAATATTGAACAAAATTCTACGATGTCTGGAAATTCTAACAAATTTTCATATGTCCTATAAATGCAATTCATGTTTTCACAATCCACACACTGAACACTGCTAAAAAAACTTTCCCAAATTCTTTTTTTTGAGAGAAAGATAGGTGTAAACATACAACAGCTATCGATCCAGCACAATCGAAATCACAAACTCGACGTGCAAATGCGATTGTCACAGCAATATGTGAATTGGCAAGCATTTCATAGACTTCATTGATATGCCGTATGTAATAATCGACAAGCACATCAACAACTTTTGGATGGCTATTATTTATTCCATTCAGAACCAGAATTTGGTGTTTCTCAGTTACGGAAACTAAACCAACAGTATCAAGGATACAAATTATCAAATCCTTTAAATCCGGAAATGCATCCCTGAAAATACTTCTAATATTATAAAATTAAATATATGGATTATGATGAAAAAAAGTATTCTATTTTCTTGCAACCCATAGTGAGAAATGGAGTACTCGAAACAGTAAAACCGCTGCAGTAGCATTTTTTGCTCAACTTTATTAACAAGCAAAACATTCTGAAATTCTTATGGATACCTACAACAACCTGAACAGTACTTCTTGTATACCGAAAAAGTTCCGCCGTTTATTCATATTAATCAAATGTATGAATCTTCTCGAAAAAGGAAGGATATCACAAAATATAAGACTCTATTTTCCATAAAATTTAATGTGAAAACGAAAGTTTTAATGAAACTTCAAACAAAAAAAATCAGTTACATAAATATACCAGTCAATGTGTTCCACATTATGAGAAAGCAGCTTCTGGAGCATTTCGATAGCTTTCGCTTCTGTACGTTCCGTTAACAAACGCTGCTTCATTTCGTAAAATGTATCAACGTTATATGTTGAATCGTTTGTCGGTGATCCGGCATTGCTATCAACGTTATTATCTCGCATCTTATCTGTAATTTGTTTCCATTTTTAATTAATAACAAAAAATTTTGATAATAGCTCAATTACAGATTTCGAGAAAGTTGTATCAACCATCCGAGGTAATATCTGAAATCTAGACCAATAGTTTGCAAGTATCAGTCCAAACCAGAAAAACCATCCAGATTTTCGAAAAGAGGAAAGTAATACAAGGGATAACACAAAGTAAGAGCATTTGATTTTCATTCCAAATCAAAATTTCCTCCTAATCGAACACCGTTCTAAAACAGTTCTGGCTATCATTATGTATTCAAATCAAGGTAACTATGGGAAAGATTTAAAATCAAATTTCAAATATCATTTGATCTCTCAATGCATAAGCAAGATATCAACTCAAAAAAGCAAACTAAAACTTATCGCATACCTTTGATCATATCATCTATCTAATCATTCATCTGCCAATCATAAAGTCCACTTACCATTGTCTAACCTAAATGCACTCTAATAATATCATCGACCCCTGTCGCCTCCCCATCTTTCATACATTTCACTGCGATCTTTTACGCTTCCACGTTCAAATTCATTGGGTGCATAAAAAGGAACGAACAAAGAAGCTAGCTGCATGTAGTACCTGTCTGCTACTTGCAAATTAATACGCTCTTTCTTCTATTGCCTCAATCACTAGTCATTAAAGTCTAAAACCCTATCAATCCCCGCTCCCTCCTCAAATAACACAATACCTTCATGCCATCCTTACATAAACAAACATACAACAATGAAACCCATCGATCAAACCCACCGTGAATCACACCTTTGAGAAAGAAACCAGTTTCTCGCTATGAAATTCTAGAGCTTGGTCGCGCTATAAAATTCCTAAGCTTGATCGCGTTATGAAATTCTAGAGCTTAGTCGCGCTGCGAAATAGTGTATGTCTCAATCAAATTATAATTATTCAATTTAATTTTAAGATTCTGGTTATTTTCGTACTCGTTTATTATACTTTGCGAGACACATCATGTGAATTAGTTACTACCCATACAATAATTATGAATAATTTTTCGACTACGAAATGAATAACTGCACAAACATTTTATGTACAAAAGTATTTTAATTTAAAATTATAACCATGGTAAGGTTGAATTATATGGTTAATAATGACATCATAAATCGATCAAAGCCTGTATTTTGAATATTCAAATAACAAGAAAATACAAAATTTAAGGGAAAGAGGAAGTTTTTTTCGTGAGAAGTTAGAATAATAAACTGCTTCGTTAATTTGAATTAAAATCCATTCCTAATTGGTATAAAATAAACAATTAAAGTTTTGCAGAATTGATATGAAGTGAAAATTTAAAGAACTGGTTTTTTTTTCAAAAAAATTTATATACTTTTTCGTGGTTATTATTGTTAACATAAATTTCCTTTTTTTAATGTTTTCTCTGAATTAATAAATTAATTAAAATAATTTCCACTTTTTTCCTATTTTTTTTCCTTCAGGTTCCACTCATAGTATTCTTGTTGATTTAAACCTTATAATCATTGTCTTATAACTGTAATTTATCACTTATTATTAAAAGGAATTTTTTTTTCGAATTAGTTTTTCATGCAGCTAAGACAGAAATGTTAAATGAAAGAACAAAATTTTAGGTAAGATATTATGTGAGATGTCTATCTCACTTTCTTTCTTTAACCTTCAGTGAGAGAACAAAATTTTAGGTAAGATATTATGTGAGGTGTCTATCTCACTTTCTTTCTTTAACCTTAAGTGAGAGAACAAAATTTTAGGTAAGATATTATGTGTGATATTTATCTCACTTTCTTTCTTTAACCTTAAGTGAGAGAACAAAATTTCAGGTAAGATATTATGTGTGATATTTATCTCACTTTCTTTCTTTAACCTTAAGTGAGAGAACAAAATTTTAGGTAAGATATTATGTGAGGTGTCTATCTCACTTTCTTTCTTTAACCTTAAGTGAGAGAACAAAATCTTAGGTAAGATATTATGTGAGGTGTCTATCTCACTTTCTTTCTTTAACCTTAAGTGAGAGAACAAAATTTTAGGTAAGATATTATGTGTGATATTTATCTCACTTTCTTTCTTTAACCTTAAGTGAGAGAACAAAATTTCAGGTAAGATATTATGTGTGATATTTATCTCACTTTTTTTCTTTAACCTTAAATGAAAGAACAAAATTTTAGGTAAGATATTAGGTTAGATATTTGTCCCACTTTTTTTCTTTGACCTTAAATGAAAGAAAAAATTTTAGGTAAGATAAGGTGAGATATTTATCTCACTTTTTTCTTTAACCTTATGTGAGAGGACAAAGTTTTAGGTAAGATATCAGGTGAGATATTTATCTCACTTTTTTTCTTTTTTTGATTTAATCATCTTAAAAGAAATGTACCAAATAAAGAAAATGTAGCGATTTATTTTTCAAAGCAACTTCTGAATTATATATACATTGGAGAAAAGAATGTAACAAGTTGTTTTTCATTTTTCATGGAATAATTTATTCTATCAATAAAGTTGAAAATTTTCTACAATCTATGATAATTTCCCTCATAATATACTGTAACGTAGAAGAATGATATATCAAAAAAAAAATTTCAAAATGCAAATTTTCTTTTATTTTTCAAAAAATTAAATAGCCAGCAATTGAAAAATTATTTTTGGAATAAATTAACATATATTACATATATTCACAATATTTCCATTCATTCATTCATTCATTCATCAAAAAGGAAAAAAGATGAAAGATCGTAAATATCATAAAATAACAATTTATACTGTTAAACTTTAAAACTACAATCGATACGTGAGAACAATTCTTCAACAAGACTACGTAGTAAAAATTGCAAGAGCAATGTGAGTGCACTTAAAATAATTAAAATATTATAATAGGTGATTTTTGGTGAATTCCAATTGGTAAATGTTTGCACCAATGATAACGGGAAATACATCACTTCGAAAAAACTGATTAATGCCATAAGAAGCTGAAATTTAATTAATTATTCAATTTAATTATTGAGAGTGTCTTTTTTTTCTAACATTTACTTTTGCATTGATAGCGGCATTTTTTGCATGTCAAATAAAAATCAATGATAATAAAATTGAAATATCATATTATTACGAATGGATAAGTGTTAGATTATCAACTTCTTATTAAAGAGCATATGAGTTATATGAAATACATATATAGTTTTTATGTTGAAAAATATCACTTCATTTTTAATTTGCTAATTAAAAATTTTTTTTAATTAATAAATCATTCAATAATAAGCTAATTAAAAACCATTAATTAAAATAATTGAAAACTAAATAACAAACCTAGATAAATGAATTGAATAACAAATTTAAATTAAAATTACGCCAACTTTTTAATTTAAACATTCATCTGATCTCTTTCATTGTTCCTTTTTAATTTAAGTTAAAAAATTTTTTCAACTTAAGCGAAATATTCATATTAATATGCTAATCAAATTTCATCAATTAAAATAATTGGAAATTAAATAACAAATCTAAATGATAATTAACATTTAGAATTACACCAACTTATCAATTTAAACATTCATCTGATCTCTTTCATTCTTCCTGTTTTAATTTAAGTTAAAAAGTTTTTTCAGCTTAAGCGAAATATTCATATTAATATGCTAATCAAATTTCATTAATTAAAATAATTGGAAATTAAATAACACACCTAAATGATAATATTTATGATTACACCAACTTATCAATTTAAACATTCATCTAATCTCTTTCATTCTTCCTGTTTTAATTTAAGTTAAAAAATTTTTTCAGCTTAAGCGAAGTGTGTTCATTAATGCAAATGAAAGCCTAAATTAAAATTGCATCAAAATTACAATCTGATGAATTAAAATAGCATTATGAAAATTTGTGATTGAATTTTTGCATTTTTTAACGTTTCATTTTGCAACATTTTAAATTCCTAAAAATTTTCCTTTTGTAGTTCATTTAATGAAATGTAATTTTCTTCACCAATTAAAACTATTTTGTTTATAGTTGAAATATATAACATTGAGCATCTGGCACTAAATAGCAAATAATATCACTGGAAAAAAAGAGAAATAAATAAAATTGAAACATCTGGCAGCAAATAAATTTGCTAACGCTAATAGAGTTATTGATTTAATACTATCTTTTTTAATGAAATATTTTTAAATTAATAGAATAGTATTGCATCTGTCGTTAAGCCTAATTTTTTTTTTCTTTCCATACTATTTTTAATCACTTCCAAATTATCTCTTATCAATAACACTGTATTTATCACCTAAATATTTAGGTGATAAATACAATTAATAAGAGATAATTTGGAAATGAACAAAAATTATTTAATTTCATTAAAAATTATTTTATTTCATTTATTTCATCAAAAATAATTTAATGAAAGCGATGAAAATTTGCCAATTTTTTCATTATCGTTGCAAAACTATGAATTTTAAAATTAAAAATATGAAGAATTAAGTAAATTCATTAAAATTTTAAAATGAAATTTTGGTTTTTATACTGTGATGAGCAATATTTCATTATTATTTTTATTATTGTTATTGTTATTATTATTATTATTTTGTTTATTTATTTATTTATTTACTTGTTTATTTGTTTATTTGTTTATTTATTTATTTGTTTATTTATTTATTTGTTTATTTGTTTATTTATTTATTTATTTATTTATTAATTCATTTCATTAAATGAAAATCAAAATATGATTTCAGTAGGATATTTTGCTGTTACTCGTCATTATTTGTTTATTTGTTCATTTATTTATTTATTTATTTATTTATTTGAAAATTTAGCGTATGCATTTAATTCTTAATTTTAAAAATTGCATGCATATGCTAAATTATGAATTCTAAAATTAAAAGCATAAAAAATTGAAATTTCGAAATAAATGATAAAACAAAGAAAACAATAACTAAAATTACATTGAAAATTTTAATGAATTCATTTAATTTTTTTGGTTTTTAATTTCAGAATTCACAATTTTGTATAGAAAATGAAAAAAATG